ATTTTTATTATTAAAAATAATATTATTGTATTTATATAATATATTAGTAGACAGACAAGTTAGTCAGATATTCGATATTAGCCAATATTTTTTACTAATATGCAATTTGGGTTTTTACAAATACCGACTAGATACCCCTCGGTCTCCCTTATATTTTAGCGGGAACAGGATACATCACCAAATATCGTTATATAAGAAATAAAAGAATTATTTATTAAATTATTAATTTCATGAAAAAATTCATTTGCGATTCGTTTCAAATTAAATTTGTAAAAAATAAAATGAAACATTGACCCTTTTAGTGGCATATTTAAAAATAAAATTAATCTATTATTCGGATTATAATTAATGTTTAAATCCAACAATGATTTTTAATAAAATAAAATAAATAATGAATATTTTACTTATAATATATAAATGGTCAGGTGAAAGTTTATTTTTTTTAAATAGGATGTCCATATAAGTTTGACCTTTGAACCTTTTCAAATGTCATACAAAGTGTGCTACTTAAAGCTGTCCACCATTTGTCACTAAAACATACATCTATGTTAATTATAAATGTTATTATATCATTTTATAATGTAATTTACCATTATAGAGTAAGTTGATATTTTATGATTTTAAAAATTATATTATAATTTTATTTTATATTTTAAAAGAGTTTGACAAATTGTTCGGCATATGGCCGAAGATTTTTTTTGGTATAATTTAAGATCATTTGAAAAATAGGAAGAAATATTATATAATTAGAAAAATATTAAGCCAACGAACCCATCTTATATCTTTTTTAAAAAAATAATATTCGCTATTTTAAAGGTGATCGGGTACCATAAACTAAAATTGTGTTTTTATTAAACATTTAATAATGCATAAAAATGATAAATGAATAGCTTATATTATAATTTAATAAAATATTTGCAGATATCAAAAAAATGATATTATATGATCTTAAGGACTCGGAGGAATCTAACAGATGGTTAGCCTTTAATTTTAGGTTTCATATTTAAAATAAATATCAAAGTTTATCTATATAATATTGTATGCGACAAAATTTGTCATTTTTATAAATATAAATACAGTATGGTATGAGTATATGTGGTATGCATTTCTAGAATAACGACTGAGTATTCTAAGAAAAATTCAATTTTAAAGATGAATTTAAGTTTAAAAAAATCTGATTTACGTGAAATGTAATTGAACATTGTGTACCCTATTAATTTCATACAATTTCGTCAAAATATTTTGTATAGGGGAGGGAGACCGGATATAAGTGGACATCGGGCTTGACTAGCCACTCTCTAGCTTCTTATCGATTGGATTATTTTATCTAAATATTTACCAACTATGTATAATAATACCATGTTCATGGATACCCCATCTCTACCTATATATTTATTTATTCATTTGATTATTCAAAAAAAAATCTTCAAAAACTTTTTCAGCACCCTGAACAAAATTGTGTTCTACTTTTTTTTGCCTAGCGAAGAATTTACGCAAAATGCATAAAATTCTTATAGATAGAATCCTTACAGTTATATTCATAAAAATCGGAATATAAAAGATTTATTCATCGCTCTATAAATATATGACTATTGTTTAATAATAATAAATAGGTAATAAGTAACCAAGCATGTGTTTATTCTCCATAATAATCATGACGAAAAATATTATTAACTTAAGATTATGTATGCCTATTATTCCTTTTTATATGAGACTGGGAATCTCATGAACACGATCTTGCGAGCCTTGGGCGTTTCTTCTAGAGCACTCAGCTCTAATGAATAATTTTTTAGCCATCTACAATATGTATATGCGGCTATATTTTTTTTAATATCGAATTACCATATAAAATTTTTGTAACATTTATGATTTATACCCTCAAAAGTAACTTTTTTTATATGCTGCAATTTATCAAAAATAAAAAATAACAAAGGTTTTAGTTATCCAATAACTATCTTATATAAAAGATCAAACCTTATTCTATATAAAATTATTCTTTATTTGAACAAAAAATATGTTTAAAACTATCAAATTAAATTTTAAAGGTATTGAGGTTCTGGAGCGACTTTTCAGAGGTTCATATGAGCTTTTTGAATGTTATTTTTAAAATTTATTTTTGGTTATTATAAAAATCATATAATTTATTCGCGTCAATAATCATATAAATCGCCTAAAGTTTTTGGTTAATGTTATCTCTTTTTCTAAGTTGTAATATAATAATATTCGCGTTCTCATAGCTTCAGTCAAATCCATTATTTTTTTGATAAATATTACATAAAATTGTGGTGCAATTAAATAATTTATTAATACACTTCAATGCAAAGAGAATCGGCTGTCATATTGAATTTAATCATATATTGCCACAGACAAAATAGATTCAGATCATTCAAATATTTCTCTAAGGCTATTCAAAACTGGCTCTTATAGATCCAAAAATGATGTAACCGCTTGATGTCGAAAGCACTGTCGGGCATACCTTTTTTCTTTCTTGTAGCACAAGAAGTTTCCTAAATAATTCTATTCAGCAAATTATGTTAAGATATCTGGACATTTCATACACTTCAGAAATGTTGCCTAGTCATAGTTATTAGTAAAGATAAATTGAATTAATTTTTTTGGTTGATAAAGTTTACTTGCGCCCATCAATGATAAAGGTTTAAAGAATGTAATAAATTATACCTTAAATTTTCATGGGATAAAATATGAATATAGGGAAGAAATATTTTAATTCTAAATTTTTGCTAAAATTTAAAATAGAATATAATCTATTTTAATAGAATATAATCTATTTTAAATAGAATACTTTGCAATTCACATTTCATATAAACCTTTTATGTTTTTTCAGAATATTTTGCCACGAGTAGGATTTCTCTCCCCCTTTCCTCCTGGCTACGCTTCTAGATTCGATCCTTCAAAATTAAATAAGCATGCCATGGGAGATTTAAGTTTTGTATATTTGCTAAAAACCCCGATTGTTTTTTAATAAAACTTGTATGGTAAGACCCAAAAAATATTTTTTTAATGAAATTCTATAACTCCTTATTTTTTAGTTTATCATTTTTCTTCTGAAAAAAAATAATTGTTATATTGGTAAATTTATTAATCAATATTTAATCATTCCCCCCCCCCCCCGATAAATTCTTACTCATTAGTTAGTAAAATACATATAATATAATTATTTATTTATTTATTATTAGAAAACTGTTTTTATTAAACCTTCATAACTATTTATATGTAAAAGTATATTTCATGTTATTATATCAGAAGCGAATATACACCAAAGGGACCTAAAATTAGGCCACGTGTTAAATTAATTATGTTCTAAACATTATACATTTATCTCCTCTAGGCCATTAAATGTATAAAATATTTTATTGAAATCATAATTTTTTTATCATGAATAATCGATCCTAAATATTACATTATATTGTGTATATATTTCTAAATTTCTCCTACAAATCAATCTACAAATTGAAATTTAAAACGTCAACCCTTTTATAGTATTAGCCCATAATATTAAACCTATAATTAAATTTCTCTATGTAACATAATCTTAAGCGTTAAGTGAGATAAAACATTGAAATTAAAACTAAAAATTATTTAAATATATAAGATCTCTAGGATCAGATATTTAAACCTAACTTGCCAATATTTTATTGATAAAGTTAGTGGCCAGGCAACATTCTGATCTCTATTATATTATCTCGTTGACGAGAATGTATAGGGTTTTATTTTCTAATCATGGCCTTAAGTTTGAAACTAATTTTTAAAGAATATATTTTAAAATGTATCGATACCAATACAAATTGAAGAATTCGTCGATACCGTTAGATAAAATCATTGATAAACTTTTGATACATTTTTTGTACTGTGTTTTATTAATCCTTAACAACTGACTGGATGCTATACCAAGTCAGAGTTTAAGGATGTTGTTAATTTGAGCCCATTGAGATTGTAGAGGCTAGTGGCGCCACTGTGTCTTGGTACAGAGAACAATCACATAATAGCTTAAACACTGGATAAGGCTGGCATGCTTAGGCCAATATGAAAAAAAAAAATTTATTATCAAAGGTACGAAAATTTATTCCTAGCAAGATTCAAGATAAAACAAAGAATTTAGAAGCACTAAAGCCTATAAAATAAAAAAAATTAAAACGAAATATTCAAAAATTTTACCATCACCATTATAAATAATCAACATTCCATATTTCAGAATATGAGATCTGATATCTCTGTAGTTTTGATATACTTATAATTAAGTAGCGAATCATAAAAAAAAGATAGTCAAAAGACTTGGGGCATCTTTGGAAATTGTGATTCCAAAATAAAAAGGATTGGTTAGGATGAAATTGAGAACAATTATAATAGATTTTTTACCCTCAACGGCTAAAGTTGAGCAATTTTTTAGTAAAATAATGTAAATTCTTTTAGAATTGAAAATTGAAGAGGAACGCTGATCCCATAAGAATTATAGCGTCTCGGGGAAAGGCCCCCTTTTAAAATTATTTTTTACATAATTTAGAAATTTTTTATACAAAAATATGATTATTAAAATAAAATGTGCCTTCTAAAATATTGTTTATTCTTAGATTTTTATGATTTTTTAAGGCACTTTTTTAAATAGAAGAATAAATTTCTGAGATTATTTTACAGAGTAGAAAATTAAGAAGGAGATATTATTAATTTAGAAGAAATGTGAATTTTCGTCTAGATACCAAAAGAAAAGTATATTATGAAAACATATATTTTACCTTTACTCATATTTTAACTATAATCATATTTTCCGTGAAGGGGGGGGGGGGGTGGAGGTTAAACACCTTCTCATTCTCTGCCTACACCCCTGCGCCAGTTATAATCACATCTTTTATCTCTATGTATAAATGTTTCTCACTCTTTGGAGGTCAATTATAATAACCAATTTTTGCATGATACGGAACGTTTTAGAATTATAATAATACTAAGCTGATTTGTATTGTATATATGAATTTTTTTTAAATTACCCCTGGTAATGTTTTTTGTTCATGTAGAGCTTCCTGTGCTTTAAATGCTGATTCGTTGCAATAGTAAGTCAGGAAAGCGCAACCTAAAATTTATAAAAGGATTATGGATGTTTAAATAATGTAATATTACATTCTCCCATTTTAAATGCATAAATATTATGAGGAAAAATTAATACTTTATAAGCACATACACAAATATACAATAATTTCATAAACATATTTGGAAATTTTAATATTCAGCGCCATGGCTATGTAAGAAACTTGCTCACCATGCTTAATCCGTAAGTAATGCCTAAAATATCTTTTAATAAAATTTTTTTAATATCTTACAAAAAATTAACTATTTGTACATCTATGCAGTGGCGTATCCAGTATTTTTTTATGGGGATAGGGGGGGGGGAATTTTTTTGAGGGCTTCGCCCCCAAACCTCCCTTACCTGGCCTTCGGCCAGCTTTTCCCCGGCCTTCGACTGGGTCTTATGTTTTAGCTATTATATTAAATTATTCATAATTTAATAATAATTATATTTCCATTTTTAACTATTATCTACTAATTCGTGCTTATGGATATACAAGTCTATTTTTTTATTATTTTAAGTTAGGTATATTATATTTAATAAAGTTTTTTTAAATGTAAAGTTGAAATAAAGTTTAATGTCATTTTTTAAAAAAAATTTGCTTTAAAAACTAGCCTCAGCTTAAATTCTCATACAATATAAGTAGAAAATAATTTTTTTATTGAAAATACTAATAGTAGTGTATAAAATATTGACTAGAAAAAAATTTAAGAAACAAGTTTTTTTTAACTTCTTATCAAATACAATATTATACAAAATTTTTTATTAAATACTATGAATATAATGTGATTTTTAATTTTCGTGGGAATGTTGCCAATTCATCAAGAATTTAGTTTGTCGTTGGAACCAAATCTCTGTGGATATTTAACAGAGCTAACCCATTTAGCCGAGATTCGGAAGTAGTACTTCGTAAATATGTTTTCAACCTTCTCTAGTTGGCTACCTTTCATTCATACATGTTGTAAGAGGCAAACATGCAAGAATATAAAACAACTTCAAAATATTAGGAAATTGAACCAAGGTTTCTTTACACAGATTGAGCGCATCAATAGCATGCTCAGGTAAAATATCTAAACGTAGTAAATATTTATACCACAATTCGAATTCACTGCTTAAATTTATTTCAGTATCAATATCATAGGAATAAAATTTTGCTAAATATTTAATTTTACCAATAATGGCATTAGAAAACGAAGAAATCTTTGGGTAATAAAACTTGAAGTTTGCTAAAGACTTGTTTTTTATCTAAAAACCGTACTTTTATGCGATAAAAAATATCTAAGAATGGAATGAAAATGGATATTTTATAATATTCTTCAGTTGAGCCAATATTTATTTTACATCTCAATAATTGCCTAGGTGCTAGACGAGGTTTAGATCTTTGGGTAATAAAACTTGAAGATTGCTAAAGACTTGTTTTTTATCTAAAAACCGTACTTTTATTTGCGATAAAAAGGTATCTAAGAATGGGATGAAAATGGATATTTTATAATATTCTTCAGTTGAGTTAATATTTATTTTACATCTCAATAATTGCCTAGATGCTAGGCGAGGTTTAATTAGTGTTATATCATAAAATTTAGCCTTCGATTCAACGTCTAGATAAATATTATGAAAATATTCATCTACATTCATTCTTATTGTATCTACCTGTTCATATATATTTTCCGCCAAATCAATAACCTGAACCAAATCTAAATTTGGTTTATGTAAATATCTACAAAGTAGTGAGCTATAGGTAATTTATTGATGCAACTAGCAGCAATAATAAACTCTGATTGATTAATTGAATTCAATAATGATATCGCTTCTGACGACACATTACTTTTTTTCATGCTCAGCCTTATTTAATTTTGTATTTCTAATTCTTCTGTTCTACAAAATGGAAGTAAATGAAAAATATTTAAAAAATTATAGATATTTATTAATAATTAAAATATCAGAGTTGTTAACGCTCTTTTTTTAAAGTAGCTAGCTCCCGCTCCTACCTTCGCAAAAGGAGCTAGCTCCCGCTACTACATTTTTAAAAGGAGCTAGCTCCAGCTACTACATTTTTAAAAGGAGCTAGCTCCCGCTCTAAGTAATGGAGTGCCACTCCATAGCCGCTCCTTTGATTTTCATTTTTTAGAAGGTATTCTAAACAAAATCATATATTTTTTTATCAAAAAGCTTTATTTATATTAAATGATCTATCAAAATATTTTAATCTTTTTTAAAAGTAATAAATTTTCTTAATTAGAATCTAATAAGCATCCACGCCTCTCCCCTAAGACCTGTTTTGCAATACTAAATAGGCACTCCACAGGAGTATTAGGGGGAAGCGGGGTATTGTATTTTATAAAGATATTTTATAATTCAGGGAATTTATCAAAAATAGTATTTTTGGTATCATTATTTAAAATATATTTGTCCAATATATTATCTTCCTGATGATCAATTTCATGGAATCCAAAAAAATCTTCCAAATCAATTTGTATGCTTTTTTAGATTGAAGCTGCTCACTTTTGAAAATTAAAAAGTTTTATTTAAACACCACAGACATTTTACCCTTAAAATTGTTTGATCATTTGGATCAACATCTTTTAGAAGTTTAAAATATTTTCTGTATGATGGAAATGGAAATTCGATTTCTTCATCTATGATCTCTAAATCCATAATATAAAACTATTTTTTTATTATATATCTATAAAATGAATAATAATATGACTTACAAGATTTTCTAAAAAATTTTCAATGTAAAAAGGAAAACTTGATGTTTAATATTTAAAATGATTAGATGAAAAACCAATATAAAACTCGGCTAAACATTTAATAATGGATAAATTTAAATTAAATAAAATTTCATTTTTATTGAATTTTAATTAATAAATAATATTAATATTTAAAAAATAATTTAATTTATACATTAAATTTAAAGGAGCGGTGGAGCAGCACTCCTCCACCCCAGCCTTAAAAGGAGCTAGCTTCCGCTCCCCAATTTTAAAAAGGAGGGCGCTCCAGGTGTTTTTGAAAAAATGTAGCGCCGCTCCTTAACAACTCTGTAAAATATTATTAAAAATATTTATTAATTCACTCACTAATAATTTTGAAATTAATAAAATAATTATATATAATAATAAAATAAATTCCCGTTTGATTTCAATCTCTTTGAGTAAATTTCCATTTTATTAATATTTTTGAATAATGTTAATGTATTCACAAGGAAAGGAAATTTTAATAAAATTTATTTATAAAAAATAAGTTTTATGTTGGAAAAATGATATTTAAATATTTGTAAAATTTTGATTTGGGGAGGGGGGTAAAATTTTTATTAGCTTAAAATGATATTTACAAAAACAGTCAAATTTGCAATGGGGGGGATTTCCCCCTTTTCCTTCTCTTTGGTTACGCGCCTGATCCTAAGTGATCAGAATTATCGAAGTCACTGGTTGTATCTGTTTAACATTCTTTATTCTTATAAAGTTAATATTTTACACTTGGCTGAAAATGCAATGTTATTCATGGTGGTTTATCATAAGTAGGAAATTCAGGCTCAAATTCAATGTCTATTATCCTGATCAAATGTTCGAAATCTTAAATACATTTTGCAAATTTAAGAATTTCATTCCGATTTTCAAGCAGGATAACTGCCAAGATTAGTAGTCTTTAATATTAAGAGGAGATGATACCAATGATATAATGCAAATATGTTGGGAAAGGAATTTAAAAGACTAATGTAATATGACTGTCGAATTATTGCAGTGCTTAGATAGTTAATTTTACAAAATATTATAATTTGGGTTAGGACTTAATTGCAGATTATATAGAGGCAAATTTTGTTATTTGTTCTGTATATATATATATATACATATTTTAAAGCTTCAAAAAGATTGCATCTCAAAATACGAAATTCGGAAATAGAACCCAACACAATAATTCTTATGTGACAATATGGTTTTAATTTTCAGACATCAAGACTTGAGATTATTAATCCAACTTAATATTTATATAGTTTTCATAAATAGCTATTTATATAAATATCCAACCCACTTAAAATGTTATATTATACCAGATATGAAATGGAATCCTGGACCTAGAAATAAACATGCGAGAAACGGAAAAACTTTGTAAGCAGGTTTAACTATATTTCAGCAACGTGGCTTAACCTTAAATCTCTGCAAAATGACACCGAAGCCCCAACATTTTTTTTTACTTAAGCGGTTCAAAAAATAATAGTTTTTACTGAAATAGAAAATATTTTAGGAGTATAATATAACTCATATTAAATATAGAGGGTATACTAAACAATTATACACCCATCTCCTACTACTTCATGAAATTTAAAAAAATGAGAATTTAAGAATCATGAAAACATCCGGGGTACGTATTATTATTTCGCGTTGCGTGTTATAGCACTTCTTTAATTGTAGATTTTTAAAAAAAATTATATA